AGCTGATACTTAAGTAACTTAAAGAAAGGCTTCACATAAGCGATAACTGCTCGTCCATCACTAAACAAGTCACGATTAACGTCCGGTCCTCCGCCTTCAAGTAAAGTAAATACATGTGTTCAAACATCTGCGATAACAAACTTTCGCAAAACTTTACACGCGAATATACCAGAATAAGAAAAATAAACCAAACAAAAGCGATTATTTAAACAGAATTACCCATAATTAAATAAACAATTGTAAGTAAGATCAACAATGACTACAAATTCGAATAACAGGATTGAGATTGTGTTCATTCTGAATTATCGACCAACATTTAACGGTAAAAATAAATGAAATTGACTCATACGGGGTGACCCAACATTATTTTAGGGGCTGAAGCTAAACAAAACGTCATTCAAGTACGTACATAACAAATTTCGTGGAATTCTCTCCATTTTCGTTGTCCGGCCATGAATTACAATGTAACTTTTTTTTTCGAATTTTTGAAAACTAATTCCAGATTTGTAATTTTCATGTTCAAAAACCCCCAGATACCAAGTTTTGTCGAAATCAGAATTTGTTTCGCACCCTCAAGTAGGGGTGCGCCCTTTCGTGGTAGGAATTTTAAAATTTTTTTATTAAAATCGGATAAGGCATACCCGAAAACCATCATGGCCGTATTCGCGGTCACTATGCGAGAGGATTAACGAAAAATGTTAAAAGAGGCGCTGTAATTCAAGATTAATTTGCAAATGAATACTAAATGTTGGGTATCGCTGGTATTGTAATTTGATTCTATATCGATTGGCGTAAAATCCATTATGGCGTCCGTAAAAAATAAGAAAGCTGAATTTACTCGAAACCTGAAAGTTGAAATATGAACACTTGATTTTGAAATTTTTCTTATAAATTTATGTAAAAGTATAGTGTGTAACACGTTATTATTTTTAAGCGCATTTCGTCCGTCCGCTAACTTTGCGACGCTACTAGTTTTTTTATCTTAAGAGCTATTGTTCTACTTTTTCGCTATTTGGTTCGTTATGGTGTCGAGTCTTGTACCAAGGAAGGAATTTTTTCTGTACCGCTTACAAAAAAAGTTATTGTAAAAAAAACAAAAACCGTTTTTTACATGTTCCATAATTTTACACTTTTGCCGTTTATTAACGATCCTAGAGATCGTTTATAAATTTGCATTGCTATCTGTCGCCTGCCGGTTGGTCTCTCCGTCTGTTCCTTTGTCTGTCTGTCCATCTATCTGTCCGTGTGAACGATAACTTTGTTTAGAAATGTTCGATCGATTTTACATCTCCGTTAGTTATGAACTGAATTGCATGAAATTCAATATGGGCATAGNCACAAAAATAAAAAAAAATGCGCTATTGTAGCCACTTTGTCCGTCCGTCCGCTCGTTTTGCGACGCTACTAGTTCTTTATCTTAAGAGCAATTGTTCTACTTTTTTCGCTATTTGGTTCGTTATGGTGTCGAGTCTTGTACCAAGGAAGGAATTTTTTCTGTACCGCTTACAAAAAAAGTTATTGTAAAAAAACAAAAAACCTTTTTTTACATGTCCATAATTTTACACGTTTGCCGTTTATTAACGATCCTAGAGATCGTTTATAATTTTGCATTGCTATCTGTCGTCTGCCTGTTGGTCTGTCCGTCTGTTCCTTTGTCTGTCTGTTCATCTATCTGTCCGTGTGAACGATAACTTTGTTTAGAAATGTTCGATCACTTTTACATCTCCGTTAGTTATGAACTGAATTGCATGAAATTCAATATGGGCATAGCTTTAGCCATATAATACGCAACGCCAAAAGTTGAATCGAATCGATTCAAAATTCACAGTGCCCTTTCGCATCTCGACCATTTATAAACCGAATTGCAAACTTTTTTACTTATAAAAGTATTTGAATGAAATTTGATACATAGGCACTTGGAATAAAAGAAAATCAAACGCCAATTTCAAAATTTGGTTTTGCGCATGCGCAGTGCCAACTTTTTTATTTATGGAAGAATTTAAACGAAATTTGATACATAGGCACTTGGGATAAAGGAAAATCAAACGCCAATTTCAAAATTTGGTTTTGCGCATGCGCAGTGCCAACTTTTTTATTTATGGAAGAATTTAAACGAAATTTGATACATAGGCACTTGGGATAAAGGAAAATCAAACGCCAATTTCAAAATTTGGTTTTGCGCATGCGCAGTGCCAAACTTTTTTATTTATGGAAGAATTTAAATGAAATGTGATACATAGGCACTTGGAATAAAGGAAAATCTAGCGCCAGTTTCAAAATTTTATTTTGCGCATGCGCAGTGCCAACTTTTTTATCTATGGAACTATTTAAGTGAAATTTGATACTTAGGCGCTTGGAACAAAGGAAAATCTTAGTTTATTAGTTAGTTATAGTAAATTAGTTTTAAAATTTAGGTTTGCGCATGCGCAGTTCCAACTTTCTTATTTAGAAAAGCATTGAAATGAAATTCTTCTCATAAACTGAAATTGAAGTAGCACGTCAACAATGGATTGCCCATGTGCAACGCTATCTTTCATATTTGTGGCCGGATTTTTACGATTTTAACAGAAGTTGCATCTTACAAATGGGAAATGAATGCAAGTGGAAATGCGCTTTATGTAAATCGTTTACGATTACTTTTTAACTTGTTTATTTATGGAAGAATTTAAACGAAATTTGATACATAGGCACTTGGGATAAAGGAAAATCAAACGCCAATTTCAAAATTTGGTTTTGCGCATGCGCAGTGCCAACTTTTTTATTTATGGAAGAATTTAAACGAAATTTGATACATAGGCACTTGGAGTAAAGGAAAATCAAATGCCAGTTTCAATATTTGGTTTTGCGCATGCACAGTGCCAACTTTTTTAATTATGGAAGAATTTAAATGAAATGTGATACATAGGCACTTGGAATAAAGGAAAATCTAGCGCCAGTTTCAAAATTTTATTTTGCGCATGCGCAGTTTCAACTTTTTTATTTATGGAAGCATTTAAATGAAATTTGATACTTTGGCGCTTGGAACAAAGGAAAATCTAACATTAGTTTCCAAATTTAGGTTTGCGCATGCGCAGTTCCAACTTTCTTATTTAGAAAAGCATTGACGTGAAATACTTCTTATAAACTGAAATTGAAATACAGCGTCAAAAATGGATTGCCCATGTGCAACGCTATCTTTCATATTTGTGGGCGGATTTTTACGATTTTAACAGAAGTTGCATCTTACAAATGGGAAATGAATGCAAGTGGAAATGCGCTTTATGTAAATCGTTTACGATTACTTTTTAACTTGTTTCTATTTATATTCAATATGAATCAGTTGGAATTTTGAAGTTGAAACAGTTACTAGAAATAACCGTTAAAGACTTGTCTGATTATTTTGTACCTGCGTGAGTTTTTTAAAGAAACTGTAATCAATATTCGGCTATGAACTCAGGAGAAGGTAATCAGTTGTTCCTTTAAATTCAATACCGGAATCACTTAACTGAGCTATAGGTTAATTGTAAGTTTTCCAGTTGTGTGTAGAAAGCTCTCTATTGTTCATTTAAAGGGGTTGCTTATTGTAGCAATATATAATATCGTAGTAAAATTTTGAAACTGGATGTTGCAATGAACATAAGTTTCATTTGTTTGGAGAGCAGCAGAGCAAGGTCGAAGTTGATTTCTTCATCCGATTCGTTCGTTTCGTTGCTCCCGATTTTCATTCTCATTCTTTGTTCCATTCCTGTCCCTCATTTGTCTCTTCTTTTTCCATTTCTTATTCTTTCTTTCTCACTTTTCCTGCCCCTTACTTCTCTTCCTCTTTTATATTCTGTATTCTATCTCCTCTTCTTCGAGAATATCCATCGGTGTAATTTTCTTCTCAGAATGGGGTGGGATGAATTCGTGTCCACTTTAAACAAACTTTATCCTCTCTTATTCTTCTCTTTTTACCTCTTTCCCTTGTTTCTTATTACTTCCTCTTTTCCCTCTTTCCGCGTTTCTTGATGTCCCCACTTTCCGCCAATTTTCATCTTTTCTCTCGTTTCCTTGATTTTCCTCTTTCCTCTAGTATCATTCCTTTCAGCTTTCCTCTAGTATCATTCCTATCAGCTTTCCTCCGTTTGTTTCCCTTTTTCCTCTCTTTTCTCTCCTTTGGTGGTCTTATACAGAATCTCTTCAAAGTCTCCCCGGAATGCTCCCTACCTAATTTCTTTTGAACTAATTATCCTTTTTTTTTAATGGCTTCTGGTAATTAAAGTAAACCATTTTTCTTTAAGAGCAGATCAGAAATGCGATACCGCCCGGAGTGTCTGAGCTTTGAGCTGTCCCTTGACTTTCTATGCACAAAAAATCTAATGTATTTTCTCTTCCATTTTTACAGTGTGGAAGATGATCTTACACTTGTGGAATTTTATGTGGCTATTTTTGCAACAGAAACGCTACTGGCACAAGATTGTTTCTTCTTATCTCCGACTCTCTGGAACTTATAACTTCCGAAAGCCATTATGGGAACAACACTAGAGAATTTAAATACGCAGAACAAGGATATGATCCCTAACAATAAATAATAAATCTATATTTCCCCAAATGTTGGAATTACCAATCCTATACTTCGACCACCATGTACATCACCCATAACTTCTACTACCTAGAAATCCGAAATTTGAAATTGAGAGCTACCGTTACACTTGTTCCTATCCGTTTCCCTCTTACCCCCTCACCCTTCCTTTCCATTCTTCGTTTCTTCATCTTTTTAGTTTACTTTTTCATCTCTTTCATACCTCCGCCATACCCCCAACTTCGGTCGGTTTACACTATTCCCTCAATTTCATTTTTTATGTCAACCATTCGAACTCTTCGATCCTCGTTTCGAGCTCTCCAATCCCTTCATTTTGCGGTGCTTGTGGGACTCTCGCGGCTTCCGTGGTTCTTCCAGCTCCAACTGCTGTTAGTTATACGCATGAATAGAGAGGAAGAGGGAGGTCGGTAATTAATTACACATAGTAAATGAAAAATACTGGAAGAAATAGATGAATTTAGGGTAGATACTGGGATAGAATCGGATTAACAACCGATGGAATTGAGTCTAAAAGGGAAGATCAATGAATGGAAAGATGCAAACACGAAGGGAAATACCTTAATGCACAAAAAACACTGTGGAGTCATACAGAAGGAGTGTGGTTGTCATCGTCTGCGATAAAGGAAAACAAACAGAACAGTATTTTTGATAGTATAATTGCATACAAAAACTGCAATGCAAGCCTAACTCGACGGGTTTGGACTAGTTTCAGCGAACAGATCAATTTCAGAGTGTTCCCGCCTGAAACGTATGTTGGTCTGACTGCCGACGAACTTTTTGTAAACGCCCATAACCTGCGACAAACAAAAAACCACGCACAGAATGATCAGCAGCGACTGGTAGATATCGACATCGTACGCTTGCTTCGAACGGTACCTGACGTTGATCTTCTTCGCCTTCACGCTCAGCTCGTCCATCATCTTCGCTAGTTCGCCAAAGTGTTTTTCGGCAATCTCATTTTCGTCAGTAGATGAATCGGCAATGTCTGTTACGATGGCGTCCACAATTCCACTGGTGTCATTCAAAAGCGCTTCCAAACCAGAGAAGTCCTCTTTGACACCCGCTTCGTTCTTGGGTAACGAGAATTGCGTTGGAACGCAACTGACGTTGTCAACCGAGCCCAAACCGTATAAAGGATACTTTCGATATACTACTCTAAACACCCTGAGGGTCCATAAAATCTTCCGCAGGTTGTCGCAGGAAATGTTGTTGCCGTTAATGTCAATGCGTCGAAGAAATAAACCCAGATTCTTATTGTCAATTTCCTTGAGATGATTGTAGCTCAGGTCTAAATTCCTTATCGAATGAGCTAGGCCAAGGGCTTTCAACCAGCCGATGTCAATAAGATCATTGTGGGAGATATTTAAATTGATCAGCTTCGGAAGTTCATTAAAAGTATTTTGGTGGACAGCCCTAATAGAATTTGCGTCAACGTCTAACGTATTAATTGGCAGGTTTCCGAAAGCATCCACGGGAATCTCGGCTAAAGAATTATTGGAAACTATCAGCGTCGCTAGATTTCTGAGTAGACGAAACCGGTTCCCGGAAAGAGACTTAATTTTGTTCTGTCTTAAATTGAGGTATCGCAATGATACGAGACCATTAAAAACCTCTGGTTGCAGGTCTTGAATTTTGTTAAAGCCCAACGACAAGTGTATGAGATTTTTGAAGGTTCGAAAGGAATTTGGTTGCAACTCCTCTATTACGTTTTCGGTCAAGTCTAGAGTGCGCATACCTTCGAGACCAACAAAGTTGTCGGTCACAATTTTAAATATCTTATTTCCGTCGAGATCGAGGTAAATCACATTGCCTGGTTTACCCAATCCTGCAAACGCGCCCGAATCGATACGTTGAATGGACATCCTGCTGAAGTTGTACTGGATGAGGCCATAATTGGGATCCAGTATAGTGCCTGTGGACCTAATTTTGGAAAGACTACTGAAAGCGCCAAGTTCCATGTTAGTTATTTTGGTGTCGTCAAAGCGAAGGTGCTGTAGGTTGACTAATCCATCGAAAGCCTTTGGTTTGATGGTTACCAGATCGGATTGCTCAAAGATTAGGTTCTCCAAACCAGTCATTCCCTTAAATACCGCTTCTGGCAACTCTATGAGGTGGCAGTTACTAACTGTAAGAGATCGAACCGCTTCAAGCCCTTGGAAGGCATTTGAGTGCAAGTACGACATATGCACACCTAACTTAAGCGTACTCAATTTGGGTAATCCAATGAAGGTTTTGGGAAATATTTCGCTAACGGAATTTTTGCTCAAATCCAAATCTTTCAACGTCTCAAATCCCTTAAACGCCCCCATTTCTATTTTTCTAATCCGTGCGAAATTCAGATCCAAAGTGGTAACCGCGGATAATCCATTGAAGATCGATTCCTGTAGGATGAATAAGTTGTTTAATGATAAATTAAGTGAGGCCAAGCGGTTGAGCTGCAGAAACGAATCCGGCTCGATAGTGGTGATTACATTTTCTTCCAACTGTAGGACCTCCAAGAAAGGGACGTCGTCAAAAACTTTGCTCGAAATATTCTCAATTTTATTCGCACTCAAATCAAGCTTGGCCAGTTTTCTCAGACCAGAAAGTGCTCCCGGTGGTAGAGTGGTGAGGTTGTTGTTGTTTAGGGATAAAGTTACAAGCCCATCGAGACCCATGAACGACGATGGTTCGACACTTGATACTGCCTGATTGCTAAGGTCAAGCACCACAAGCGATCGGAGACCTTGAAACGAGCCCTTCCCGAGCCTCTTGATGCTATTTTGTTTTAATTTGAGGGTCGTAACTTTGTGCAAGTCATAAAAGGCATTTGGCCTAATCTCCTCAATCAGGTTGTAACTCAAATCGAGGCTTTGCAAGTCAGATAGGCCCATAAAGGTCTCCGCCTCTAACGTTTTTAATTCATTGTGCTGTAGATCCAGCATTTTTAATCCGAATAGTCCGTTAAACGCGCCATCGTTAATTGATTTAATTGTCAAATTCGATAAATCAAGGCGGCCAAGCAATTCTAATCCATTAAACCCATTAAGCGGTAATTCGCCTAAATTTGTATTGCCACCAAGCTCGAGAATGTGCAGATTCTTTAAACCATTAAACACGTTGGGCTGCAACAGCAGGAAATTTTGTCGTAGATTGAGGTGAAGGCAAGATGCGAGACTACGAAACGCATTCGCTTTGATTCTCCAAATGAAATTCATGCTAAGATCCAGATGAGCCACATTGGGTAATCCATCGAACGCGTCCTCATCCAATTCTTTAAGCATTTGGCTTGATAGATCTATATAGTCGATGCTTTCCAAACCCCGGAAGGTACCATTTTTAATTCGCGACAGTTGGTTCTGTCCAAGCTCCAAGTGTCTCAAACGTGACAAATTTTGAAACGTCCCAGGCTCCAAACTGGTCAGCTTGTTACCTTCCAAAGACAGAGAGCGAAGTACCCTTAGCGCATTGAATGTGTTCACGCTTAAAGAATATAGGGCGTTTTTCTGCAAATTGATACTTTCAAGCGAGACGAGGGAGTCAAACGCGTTTGGGGCAATTTTTCTTATTCGGTTATTATCCAAGAAAAGTGTCTCTAACTTGGTCAGTCCGCTCAGAGCGTCACCACTAATTTCGGTAACGCGGTTAAATGCCAGGTTCAAAGTTTTCAATCCTTTATTCGACTTAAAACAGTCACCGATATTTCCGATTTGGTTACCGACGGCAGTGAACTCAACCAGCTCAGTTAACGTGCAGGTCAATCCATCCGTAGAAGTCAAATTGTTAAAATCTAAGATGAGCACCCGCAAGTTGGTCAACGGCTCAAAGCTAGCCTTCTTTATCCTGTTGTTCTTCAAATAAAGCTCCTGTAAGCTAGGCAGTGGGGTTACAAATTTGACCTCCTGCAACAGATTTTGGTCCAAGTGGATGCGTTGTACACTGCTGAATTTGTCAAAAACCGTCTCGCCCATTCTTTGCAATTGGACATTAGTCAAAATGAATTCCTGTACCTTACTTACGAAGTCCAATTTAAACTCGTTCAGGCTGGACATGTTCGAGTGACCAATTTCGATAATAAAGCAAGTGCTGTTGGAATTTTCTTCATAATTTAGTGTAGGGAGTGATTGACCGGAAAACTCGACGCACTTGATCTTCGTGCACGATGCGTAAGGCCTCCACGAACATTGTGGAAGGGCACTAGCCGTTATTGCAAAATAAGTCAGTATTATTATGGTCAGCACCATTCCGCACTATGAGGGAAATTTGATAAAGTACTGGCGGTCGAAATACTGATACCTATGACATTAAAGGTCATCGTTATCGAGAAGCAAAGTTCACGGACGGAATTATTTTCGTTTCTTATTAATGTTTGTCATACGCTACTGGAAGCAGGGGATATCAAAATTTCTTCTCCGACGTTCTTTAATCCTGAGAAAGGCTTGAAAGCACGACCTGTTGTATCGAAATCTCTCCATTACTGTCCCTTTATACCTTTCGTAAATTATTTTTTGAAAAAGTTCGCTTTTCAATGGTCTTTGATTATTTTCTTTTCGCACTATTCATGATGGCTTCATGAACCCTTGACTTCCTCTTTCACTGTGTTTTTGTGTCAGGATGGTGCCAAAATGCATCTTCCACAAACCATTTCTGTAACCTTGACAGATTGAAGGGAAGATAACATTCATATATTTTGGGTCAAATATCCCTCTTTGCAATTTAATCCTCTCGAGCGGCTTATCGCACCAGTAGACTCGTTCTTAGAGACCCACAAAAGGCCTTAAATGCTCAGAATCTCAAAGACCTGAAAACCCGTTGGAACGCCCTCTTGTAGGTTAAGGACTCGGAATTGGTCATATAGATATATAGATAAATGGGCTCTAAACAATTCTGGTAGGCTCTTGGAGATTCCCTAAAGATTATAGAAGCTAAGAAGACTTGGGGCTTTTTAAACGTCACTATCTACTACGGGTTTTAAAAACTCTGTAAAAACTGTTGGTGACTCTTGAATATAAATACCTCTAATAACCAATCCCTTAAAAGCTCTAATCTTCTCTTATAACTCTTGAGATTCATGGAAGTTCTTGAAGGCAGTCTGAACTGTTAAACGCTTTTCCTGGAGGAACTTAAGACTATTGAAGATTATGAAAAGCTGTTGAATAGCATTTAAAGGTCCACAAAGCATGTAAAATCAGGACTCGTATGGGATTTGGAAGGGGCTTTGAGTCCCTTGGATCCTGGTGACATTTTAAGATCCATTAGTCTTATAAAAAGTTTAAGTAGTCATAAAAACTACAATGGTTTATTTAAGATTATCTTGAACGAACTTAAAGCGTATTAACGATTTTTATAGGCTATTAATGACATTCAAAGCCTCTTAAATGGTCTAGGTTTCCCAAACCTTCCAAAAAACTTTTCGAGAGAAATTTGCTCTTAAACACCCTTACTGACTCTCAAAGACAAAGCTTCGTTAGGGTTTTTAAGACTAATTTTATATTACAAGGGTTTTAGATATCGTCTGAATACGTAACAATTCTTTTCTTCTTCTTTTCACTTTTAAGGGCTGATAAGTTTTTTAAAAGGTACGATATTTCCAAAACTTTTCGCGGTTTCTAAAGGTTTCTAAAGCACCAAGATTTATACAAAAATTGTTTGTCCTTTAAAGCTTCTAAAATCTCAAAGATAAATTGATACTCCCTACAAAAATTCACACGTATAGGGCCAACTCTGACCTTCCATAAAGTTGACGCCAAGAAGTGAGCTCAGTTCTCGTATTCAAAACCTACAAATAATCAAAAGAAAACCTCCCAAGCCCCAAAGCTCGGTATATAATTAATTGACTAATGCCTGAAGGGTCTCGTTCTACTCGTAATATGCTCCTATACCAGGTACTTAATCGGTCAACCCCTCCAGAAGGAAGTGGTGGACTCCAACAACATTCACGTTATTTCAAACTCGATGATAACTTAGCTGAGATGGCAAAGATATGGTACTAATGTTAACAAATTACTTGAACGTGAGTGATAGCATTTAACCCAGAAGGGGCAAAATAGTTATAAACTAACACGTTAAAGCAGTTGCGGTAGTTGACTCTTTGTTGAGGATCGAATCTCCAAATCAAATCTCTTTCATGACCCGGTGACTCAATTTCAGAAAATGGCCGCTCGTTATCAGCAGGTGGAAGATATGACAAATGTGTTGAATAAAATTTGAATTTGAACTAACATTAAAACTAAAAAATTGAAACCCTAAAAGAAATCAAAGGTAAACCTTTTTCGTTGATGTCATAAAATGTACATACCTTTGTTAAATAAGAGGGCTAATTGTAGATCTGGAAACAATTGTCGATGGAAAATTGCTGTATAACAGATGACAGCCGAACCTAGAGAAAAGGTGCACTTCAATTACAGAAAATGCGATAAGCCAGCCAGAAAAAACTCAATTATATCCTCCCTATTGGAGTCCTTTAAGAGCCTCATGGTCTCCTAGGGCCTTGCAAAAGCTTTTAGAATATGTATCCACTCCCACTTACGGACCTTGTGCTAGTTCTTAAAGGACCTTTAGGAATCTTTAAAAACTTTAAGAGTCTACAATTATGAACGTTTATGGATGAGCCATTCAAGGTATTTCGGGTCTTCATAAGTCTTTAATAGTTTCTAAAGCCTTTACGAGACTGTTAAAACCATTAATGAACCTTTTCGAGAACTTTAAATACACTCCAGTGGTCTTCCAAAAGGTTTTTGAGTCTTTTCTACTCCTCTATTTAATAGGCCATTGCCATTGTAAGAGTTTAAAACCTTTAAGGGTCTAACAGAATCTTGCAAATCATCAAAAGTTCTTGGCGCTTGATTGATCGAACATTAAAGGCACTTAAAGACTTGTTAAAATCTCACATCTTAAATAATCTTAAAGGGCTGAATGTGCACGTTTCTAAAAAGCTCTTAGATACTTTTGAAAACCTTCGTCCCAAAGACGACTAATGTTGATAAAACCTCTTAAGGGCTCTTAAGTTCTTCTCTTCAAATAAAATACATAAGGTCACTTCATTTGGAGGGAATTCTCGAAGACGTGGTGAGCTCTTTTTGGTTTTCGTATGCCCGTTGGCGACCTGATCAGAAAGTGTGGTTCCGAAAAAGGAACATCTAATTTTTCTCTACTCTGTCCTAAAGTAAAGGGATCTACAACAAAATTGTCCTTAACCCAATCCGTAACAGAGACCAAAAAACACAGCTTCGTACTGTGGCGTTATTCTCGTACTAGTTGCCCTTTTTGCATCCCCGTTATCCTTTTGAATAATAATTCAGAGCTTCGCTGTAGAGAAAGTTTAAATGCTTCCTCTGAAACTTTGTCTTTTATCTGAACTACAACCTTTGACTTCTGATATTTTACTGAAAGTTACCCTTAACTTAACATTAACGAAATTACTTATGTATATTGTACTACACGATAAAGGAATGTTTTAACAATCGAGTGAATTAATTTTCACGAGATGGTTAGTTTCCCTTTATCGTCGTGTAGAACACAAATTTTATAGCAGAAGTCATAGAAATCTTCTGAGTTTAGTTTAGACGTCCAAAATAGCACACATAGTCCTGTCGTTTCCATGGAAGCAATACTGTATTATGTTCTGAACTTTATTTTATTTCGTGCTCCACGTCTCATTTTTAGTAAGAATGACAGAATGCACAAGGATTTGCTTTACATGTTTATCCTTGCCATTCAAACCTATTAAAATGTCACTTTAACATTCCGCCCTATAAAATAAATATTTTCTCCGCCATCGCCTACGATAAACGAAAAATCGAGAGGGTTGTTAATGATATATTTGGATACAACAATTATTTATAGTACAAAGGGAAATCTATGAGCTGGGATTAGTTCCGGCGAACAGTTCAATTTCCGATTGTTCTCGCCTGAAACGTATGTTGGTTTGATTACCGACGCACTTCTTGTAAACACCCATAAACTGCGACAAACAAAAAACGACGCAGAGGATAATTAATAGCGCCTGGTAGACGTCGACATCGTACGCGTGCCTCGAACGGTACCTGATGTTAATCTTGTTCGCTTTCATGCGCAACTCATCCACCCTCTTCTCCAATGGGCCAAAGTGTTTTTCGGCAACTTCATTTGGGTCAGTTGATGAATCCGCGATGTCCCCAACGATGGCTTCCACGATCTCATCGGTTTCGTTCAAAAGCGCCTCCAAACCAGAGAAGTCCTCTTTGACACTCGCTTCGTTTTTGGGTAACGAGAATTGCATTGGAACGCAACTGACGTTGTCGAACGAGCCCAAACCGGATAAAGGATACTTTCGATATGCAATGCTAGACGCTTTGAGGTTCATTAAAATCTTCGGCAGGTTCTCGCAGGGAATGTTGTTGCCGTTAATGTCAATGCGTCGAAGAAATATTCCTAGTATTAGAGGATTAATTTCCTTAAGATGATTGTAGCTCAGGTCTAATCCTCGTATTCTGAACGGGATTATAGACTTAAAGAAATCGGTATCGGTAAGCTCGTTGTGGGAGATATTTAAATAGAATAACCCCGGAAGTTTAGAAAAGGCATTTGGGTCGATTGATCTTATGGAGTTGGCTTCAATATTTAATGTGGCAATTGTAAGTTGCTCAAAGGCGTTCGCCGGAAGCTCAGTTAAGGAATTATTGGCGATTGTCAAGAGCGATAGGCTTTTGAGTGGGCGAAACGGATTTCCGGATATAGACTTGATTTTGTTGCATCTAAGTTCGAGATTTACCAAGGCAGCCAGTCCATTAAAAACATCCGGTTGCAAATCTTGGATTTTGTTAGCATTTAAGATCAAAATTGTGAGATATTTCAAAGTTTGAAAGGAGTTTGGTTGGAGCTCTTCTATTACGTTTTCACTCAAAGTGAGGGTGCGCATACTTTCAAGACCAAGGAAGTTGTCGGTCACAATTTTGAACAGCTGATTTCCGTCTAGATGGAGGTGAACCCCATAGTCTGGTTTGCCCAATCCTGTAAACGCGCCCCGATCGATACGTTGAATGGACATCTTGTAGAAGTTGTAGTGGTTGCGTTGGTAGTAACTCGAGCCATAGTTGAGATGGAAAATTGTAGTGCTCACGTATCTAATATTGCCTAGACCGCTGAAAGCGCCAGGTTCGATGTTGGTTATGTTGGTGTTGTCAAAGAGAAGGTGCCGGAGGTTGAGCAATCCGTCGAAAGCCTTCGCCTGGATAGTGCCCAGATCGGATTTCTCAAAGATTAGATTCTCCAAGCCGGCCATTCCCTTAAATACCGCTTCGGGCAACGCTTTGAGGTGGCAGTTAGTAATGGTGAAAGATTGAACCGCTGCAAGCCCTTCGAAGGCATTCGACCGCAATAGCTCTGTGCGCTCGGCTAACCTAAGTGTTTTTAATTCCGGTACCCCAACGAAGGTTTTGGCAAATATTGCGCTAACGAAATTTGCGCTCAAATCAAGATTTGTCAACGCTTCTAATCCTCTAAACGCCCCCATTTTTATGTGTATAATCCCTGCGGAATCTAAATCCAATGTGGTAATTGCGGATAAGCCATTGAAAGTCGATTCCTGCAGGGTGCCTAAGTTGTTCGATGATAAATTAAGGGAGACCAAGCGGCTGAGCTGAAGAAACGAATTCGGCTCTATAGTGGTAATTGCATTTTCTTCCAAGTAGAGGACTTCCAAAAGAGGGACGTCGTCAAAAACTTTGCTCGAAATATTACAAATTTTATTCGCACTCAAATCAAGATTGGTCAGCTTTTTGAGGCCGGAAAGTGCTCCCGGTGGTAGCGTCGTGAGTTTGTTTCCGTTTAGCGATAAAGTTACAAGCTTGTCAAGACCCATGAACGATGATGGTTCAACACTTAACACTGTCTGATTGCTGAGGTCAAGCATCATAAGCGATCGGAGACCTTGAAACGAATCCTTCGCGAGCCCCTTAATTCGATTTTTGTTCAATTTGAGAGTCGTAACCTTGTGCAAATCGTAAAAGGCATTTGCCCTGATCTCCTCGATCAGGTTGTAGCTCAAATCGAGGATTTGCAAATCGGATAAGCCCATAAAGGTCTCCGCCTCTATAATTTTTAATTCATTGTGCTGCAGATCCAGCATTAATAATTGGAATAGTCCGTTAAAAGCACCGTAATTGATTGATTTAATTGTCAAATTGGATAAATCAAGCATGCTAATCGTTTCCAATCCATTAAAACCATTCAGAGGTAATTCGCCCAAATTTCTATTGCCACCAAGCTCGAGAATATGCACCTGTTTTAAACCATTAAATACGTTGGGCTGCAACAGCAATAAATTATGTCGTAGATTGAGGTGAAGGCAAGATGCGAGATTACGAAACGCATTCGGTTTGATTTTCCAAATCATATTCACGCTGAGATCCAGATAATTCAAGTTGGGTAATCCATCGAACGCGTCCTCATCCAATTCTTGGAGCATTTGGTGTGAAAGATCTATAAAGCCGATGGTATCCAAACCCCGAAACGTACCATTTTTAATTCGCGACAGTTGGTTCTGTCCAAGCTCCAAGTTCCTCAAACGTGACAAATTTTGAAACGTCCCAGGCTCGAAGCTTGTTAATCTGTTACTTTCCAGAGAAAGAAAGCGAAGTACCCCTAGCGCATTAAATGTGTTCACGCTTAAAGAATATAGAGCATTTTTATTCAAATTGATAGTATCAAGTGAGATCAGTGAGTCAAATGCGTTTGGTGCAATTTTTCTTATCCGGTTATCATCCAAAAGGAGTGTCTCTAACTTGGTCAGTCCGCTCAGAGCGTCACCACTAATTTCCGTAACGCGGTTAAATGCCAGGCTCAAAGTTTTCAATCCCTTATTCGACTTAAAACAGTCACCGATATTCCCGATTTGGTTACCGACGGCAGTGAACTCAACCAGCTCAGTTAACGTGCAAGTCAAGCCATCCGTAGAAGTCAAATTGTTAAAATCTAAGTTGAGCACCCGCAAGTTGGTCAACGGCTCAAAGCTAACCTTCTTCAACCTGTTGCTCGGCAAATAAAGCTCCTGTAAGCTAGGCAGTGGGGTTGCAAATTTGACTTCCTGCAACAGATTTTGGTCCAAGTGGATACGCTGCACGCTGCTGAATTTCTCAAAAACCTTTTCTCCAATTTTTTGCAATTGAGCGTTAGCCAAAATGAATTCCTGAAACGCACTTACGTTTGCTGAATTAAACGCGGTCAGACTGGTCACATTTGAGTTTACAATTTCGATGATGAAGCAATCATCTTTAAACTGCCCCCCAAAAGTGGGCGGAATGTTAAGTGTGCCACTGCTCGAGAAATCTACGCACTTCACCTTCGAGCACTTCAGATAGGCCGTCATCGTGCATTGCGGTAACGCACCCGCTGTTATTGCAAAAAAAGTCAATATTATTATTGTAAGCACCATTTCGCACTATGACAAAAATATTGTAATGGCGACCGAATTAATTATACCTACCCATCGTAAATGGTATTAAAGGTCATCACATGCTTATCGAAAGCCAATGTTCACTGACATTGATATTTTCGTTGCTCATAAAAATGTTTCTACTATGACAATGCAGCAGTATTCAAAATGTGCAACCTCACGCTTTTTAATGCTGAAAAGGGTTTAGAATTGCGACAGATTCTCACGTGCGCCGAAATTTAGGAACCATATACGTAAAAATTTGCTTAGAAGTAAAAATAAGGAACCGTTACTACACTAGGAAAAAAAACGCAACTAATTCAAAACGACAGGAGGACATTCGTGACAAGGACCAGGCGTCAGCAGTTCCTAACTAACAATATATTAAACTAGGTCATTAAGGAAGCAATTCTGTGATATAAATAGCATGTAGTTCTTACAATAAATATTATCAGTTTTCAACTGTCATAGTTGTTGAGAATATTGTGCAATGCACAAGATAGCGCAGCGAAGCGTGCCAGGGCCTCATCATAATAGCTGTAAAAATTGTGTTGGTTGTCATAGTAATAATGAGAGTTTTTGACTACAGAAAAATATTTTCACAAAAAAAGCGCTATTATGGCCACTTTGTCCGTCCGTCCGTTTTTCTGGACGCTACAAGTTCTTTATCTTAAGGCGGCTAGGGACAGGCCATTCAAAATTTAAGCTGCGCCTACGCAAATAATTATATAGGCAACCAATCGTGCAATTCGACAAGTTTCACCAGGCATAAGCTACCTGCAAATGACCTCATCTTCCTACAATAAAACCAGATTCCAGACCCTCATTAGCGGCTATTCAACAAAAGTAACTGATTTATGGAATTTCAACTTTCTCCTGATGTTTTACAGTTTTACTAATACTGGAAACCTTTGAATATAGAATAGGAAATCAAAGCTGAAAGCTCTACATACCTATATAAAAATATTACTAATGTATTACTTTCTAAGATATCATTCCTACTTACTTCCTATATAGGGATTTACAATAATGACTTTTTGAGATTTGGACTTGGGTAATGAAGGGAACAATTTCCGAAACAAGAAAAACTGGTCTTCAATTTTTGTGGTTCATAGCACAAATTTATTTAAACAATTATCACATCCGATCAAACTACGGCCCCATAGATTTCTAAATTTATATGATAACGATTTTCACAGGTGCGCGGATGTAAGAATGGTACTTTTCTTCAATTAGATGAACAGTTTTCGATATTTCGCATGGCTTCCGCAATGTAGCCCGGTATTTGCTGCGTTTTCAACCTTCCCCCATTTATCAAATTATATATCTGAATTCTGATCTAATTTACAACAAAATAAATGACTCATTTTTCATTACAAAAAATGTTTTAATAGATTTTCGGAAATTTTCCAATTCCAACACGACATTCGCCTGATGCTTTACGAAAATAGTTTATTTGGCTAGCCGTCAAACCTTCAGTGGAATTATCAAAAGCATAGGTAGATTAAAAAATTATCAAAGTCCTCGTGTGGGATCGAAGAGAGATCAGCGCATTTTTGTGTGGCCGATCAGTATTGTATTAGCCACCATAAAAAAGATCTTATCGCAAGCTAACACATTCCCTTTGTCGGTACCCGCTTCCGACGTTCCGTTCACCCACCATTCGCATTTAGATGAATTTTGCTAAATCTCGGGAAAACACTTTTTCTTTTTAATTTTGGTGCGTAGAATCCAAACAATTCGTACTTTTTCGATCAGACTTCTCAATCAAAAGTTATAGACTTAGAAACCAATTTCGAAAGAAAATTCAAAGGGCTGTAACTTTTTAACTAGTAGCTCAATCTTGGAACTGTTTGAAATTATGAATTCTACAGGCCACGTTCTATAAGAAAAATTTATTTCCGGGACGATCTGAGACAATTTTTTTTCGGGGCAAAAAAAGGCAGTGTACTCTCCACAAAATAGTTCTCAATTTTTGGGGCACTTCTCATAGCTCTATTAGCCACACGAGAAAGAGAGATCGCGATTCGAGCTTTCAGAAACAAAATTCGCAGAGGAAGATACCTTTTGGGCGCCCTAAGTCAACTACCCCTCGCAGACGTACGCCTTGTAAAATGAGGTTAATTTCGTACCCAGGAAAAAAACAAATTTTCGCTACGCAGTTTTTGTGTCCGTTTACAAGATCTTTCCAACGGCACCATTTTGAAAACAATCTGGAGTAAAAACTTCAAACTCGAATTGCGGGTGAGCGAGACGTCGGAAGTGGGTACCGAGAAAGGGAATGTGGTGGTCCCCGCCAAGATCTTACTGATGGTGGAGTAAAACTTCAAACGCAAATTGGGGATGCACGGGACGTCGGACGCGAGTACCGACGAAGGGAATGTGGTAGCTTCGACAAGATCTCACACGAGGACTTTGACAATTTTTTACTAACGACATGCTGAAATAAAAAATTATCACTTGTAATACTACTAGTGCTTGCTATTTCCGGAAACTTTTCGAGCTCACAAATATTTGAACTTTCGCAAAATATTCGTGAGCAAGAAAAAAATTCTATTCAAGCACTGTGGTATTCGGTAAGAAAATTTCACACCATAGTGACTCTCAACGAAAAAGTGACGTTTTATGTCAAAACATTATTACCTTTTTACGTCAAAAAATTGACGATAAATTCCGTGGTTGCCATGGAAATGTGACACGAAATCCGCATTTCATTGGTCGATAAAATTGCTGGTTGAAATTTTCGTTGAGATTTATCACCTAGGGTATGTAAGACACACGATTATCAATTTTTGTATTAACAGTTTTTTAACAGAGCTGCTAGATTCAAGAAGGTGCAACAAACAATTCGTTATGTTTATCTATAATAGGTACATCGTCCAAATTGTACATAATTTTTATGTACCTAATCGATATTATTAAATTGCTTTTTGATAAGTAGGTAACAATACACCTACATCAAATGTATGAAAAAAATGTATGAAACGGGTCTAAAAAATTAAAACGTTGTTACTCCTGAATATTACATTTATTGACGTACAATATTTTTTAAATTATCGGTCAATTATCGTTGGTACTAATAGACGAATAAATGGAAGGCATTGAGATTCTTTTGTTACTGGTCTAATAGGGTCATAAACCATTGTATATAAATATAATGGTCATTAGGTGTTAATATTTTCCAGGTAAAAGTGCTACCTGAGTTGCCTATCGTCATTGTATGGAAGGTATTGCATTTCTTCCGTCGCTATATTTTATATAAACTTTTGAGTAAAAATTACGTTTTATTTCATAATTTGAAACAGTTCGGAATATTTTTTTTTAATCCACTTAGTTACTAAATAAATTGTGCGGATTTACTTTTTAAATATTTTTTTTACTAAGGCCAGTATTCGCGTTCTTAGTAAATTCAAGATTATCATTTATACACGACTTGAATAATTTTATCAAAAAAATAAATCGATACATTTAATGACTTTCTATATCTCTATCAATTTCCGATAAGACCTCTAGTTAGAATTAATATTTGGGCTTCAAAAATTACTCAAAAGTTTCGACTTTTATTGCAAATTTCAGTGACCATTGTGTGTTGCCTATCCTCTATCCCTAGCCCCCTTAAAGGCGAATTTACACGGGGACAGTAACTAAAGCAAGTGACTAAAGCAAGTTACTTAATTTAGCGACTGGCTGCGTGTAAACGTCCGATTTAGTACTTGAGACAGTAGGAAATTTAGTGGAAATTTTAGTCCAGTAGATAGAAGAGTATTCTATTTACTAAAGCCAGTAGGTACTCCCACCACATCATTTCTTTACTAAATCATGCACTTAGCACATGTAAACAGCTTTTCTTTAGTAACAAGTCATTGTTGAAATTGAAATTACGTATATATTTACAAAATGTCCACTTTGGCACGTTGGAACGAAGATACTACATTAAAATTCGTGCAGGAGTACAGGGTTAGAGAATGCTTGTGGAATACAAAGGCGGTAATATATAAAAATAGAAATGCTCGCGAAGCAGCATTCCGAGAACTTGAAGAGGTAATGGGAATAGAGGGTTTCGGTGTTAGCGAAATCAAAAACAAAATAAAGGCTTTGCGATCTACATATTCCCAAGAATTAAAAAAAATCAAAGATTCTAAGAAATCGGGAACTAGTGCAGACAGCGTGTATACACCTCACGTAAAGTGGTTCCAAGAAATGCACGCATTTCTACATTGTCTGGATAATAAAAGACCTACGCAAGATAAATAATGATTTCTAGCTTTATCTTTGCCGGAATTGCATCTCTCATAATTGTATCACATGTTGTGATAAAAGGACTAATCTTGGCTAACAATATGTCAAATGCTTCCTTAGACATTCTCATGCAATTTCGGTATTCTCCTAAATCTTCCTCAGATAATTCTTTCAGCAGCATAGAAGAAAATCCATGGGTGCTTCGACGAGCTATCCATTTCCTAACCCACATACGCCTTTTTTTGTTTTGTTCGCGTCTTATTAGATCAATAATTTCGTCACATAGTACTATAATGCACTGGTTTACTGCGACACGAAGACCTACACTTTCAGTTGCTGCCATTTTAAATTAGTTACTAAATGAAATGTGACCTAAACTAGTGTAGACAAATACTAAATGCGTATGTGCTAAAAATTAGTAACTTGCTTTAGTCACTTGCTTTAGTTACTGTCCCCGTGTAAATTCGCCTTAAGGCTCCTCTGTAGTCAGTTTGTATTTCAGTGTTATTGCAATTGGTTAGACCACCAACAATACACACTGCTACATGATCTCCTTGAGTGAAACCAACGATGTATCTATCCTTCTCAGTTTTGCATATTCTCTTCATTTATTGTTAAACACAATAGACCATGTATAATGATCAAGGACTAATTATGTAAACAAGTTTATCGAAAAGCTGTACAATATTTGATTGGAGATGCACAAATACCTATTTCTGTTACCGTTGAATAAATTACTTATTCAATGCATTTTTCTATAATGACACCTTCTGTAAATTACCTGGTTTTCAGGTAATTAGTGGACTAGATTAGCATTGTTTGTTATAACATTTT